CTCATCCTGAGCACACACAAACACTCGCAGCCGAAGTAAAAACAATAAGTGTGGCTTTATATTGAGTAAGAAAAAGGTTTATAACGCTGTGAGAATGGGTCTGCTGCAGAGAGCATTTCTCCACCATCCCAACTCGTCTATTACCAACCAGGGAGCTCTATGCAAGTCAATGGGACTCCCTGTTAGTTGAACATTTACGATATACGTCCTGGTGTGTGAGGAGCTCCGCGGATTGGTCCATTTTGGTTCCGGAACCGCATGACGTCATGCGGTTCCGGGAAGAAACAAATGGAAAAAGAGAAATCTCCAACGAGGCGTTCTGGTGCAGCATAGACAGGTCTTTTCTGTGTTAGAGTTTTACTCGCTACAGGGTGTACTTTGAGGGTTTTGTGACTCTGCAGACCGTTCACATGCAGAAAAACACACAAGGGGACGGGTAATAACCGGAAAAGCATGACATGGGCCTTTTAATGTAATTCTCATTTCAGCCACAAGAGGCTCCACTGCATCACTACCTCTTGTTCCTAATATACTGTAGGACTTTTTTCTTTTTTTTTTTCAGTTTTAGTTTCTCCATGCATTCTGAATTTAAACACATGACTTATATCTAATTTATATTTATTTACAAACCCATTTCGCCATCAGCATCACGGAGGCAAACAGGGGGGAATAAATATGGATAAATAAGAAACCACATACGTGTTTATGCTTTGTCAGAACAGCTTGCAGTTGCTAGGTGTCGTGATTTCAGATGCTTTTGGTTGGGCTGTGATAACAGATGTCTAATGTTATAATCTAATATAGACTTATTTACGGAAGCCCTGAGAGGCCAACGAGAGAAAATAAGTTAGGTCGTAAACATAACTTATAAACGAGAAAATAATTCAGAACAGTTGAAAAAGGTTTTCCAAGATAATATGACTTTTTTTAACAGTAAAAAAAAAACTTTTAATAGGTGAAAATGTGTTTTGTTTTGATGTTATTCTTATTTCAGCCACAAGAGGCTCAATTGCACTTCTACCTCTTGTTGAAAACGTATTTTGCACAGCTATTCACAGATTATTGTTATAGTATTAAATAGTCTAGCAGCCAGTAATAATAATAATAATAATCTTAACGAGGTACATATAAGAAAAAAAGAAGAAAGGACCTGACTACCTATAACCTAAAAAATAGACCAGACAAGAAATAAACAACTATTCTGATGATTCATGTTCTCACCTGCATCAGAAGGTTTCCATACTTCCTTTTGCAGATTTATTTTTGTAATACTAGGTGTTGTTTTCAGTGGAAACACGGGTTGAATTGCAAAACAGCAGCTCCATTGTTTTGTTTCTTATAGGACAAGTGCATACTGATGAAGAAGCCCGTTTTAATTTCTCCTCTGTTACCTTGGGGGAAATCTAAGATACTAGATCTATATCCCGACCCGACAGTGTAGCGCATTCACTTGAAGGGAACAAATATGTCTAATTGTCAGTGATTGATTTGTTGGGCCTCAGTTCCCCCCAGCACACGCCATGTATTGACCCAACAGTCACCTGACATTTCCATGTAATCTTCAACTGGGTAAACAGCAGCTCAGGGGACAAGAAGATGCTCGGGGCCGCTTCTTAGCCGAGGGGAAAATAGTGAGTGTGAACATCCTCCTGGTCGCCGACGGGGGTGTGAGCTCATACTGGGAGGGTGATATTTACAGGACACTGAGATAAGTGGATAAGTGGAAGCTGTTGGAAGCTCCTGTATCAGAATATTTCCTGGCCTCTTCTCCGAAAAAAAAATCTGTGTGACTTTGAAGGGGCATCTTCCTGGGCTCTGGCTCCCTGCTGCGAGAGCAACTGCTTTCTGCAGGATTTAATAACAAGCTGAGAAACATGGTGACGAAACCCGGCTGCCACCCTTTGGGATATTTTTAGTTTGGGCGGCCTATGTCGGGGGGAAGTCATCGCCCAGCTCTAATAATTGGAATTACCATAGTTTGCAGACTAATCCATCAACATTAGCAAGAGGGTGTCACTGGCAGTGTTTGGGATGGGCAGCGCAGACGCAGGTGTCCTTGTGTGCCTGAATTATCACCTGAGCAAATAATGCACCTGAGCTGGAGACGCAGCAGAAGATTTGCATGTTTGCCGTGGGGAAATGAAGTGGATTGAGTTTTGTTGACTGGCTTAGACAGCTGCTGTCAAAGCGGACTCTCCCCATACTAATGATGCACATCATTCACCACATTATTAGATTGTTTGTCTTCCCAGTTGGGTATCAATGGCTACATTACATGATCTGTATGAGGCCGATAAAGCACATCTAATTTGCTCTTGTTTTCAAAGCATATAACATGTAGGATATTTATTAATGCCCACTTATAATTGGATAGCTCAAAGAAAAACAAATCATCCGGGGATGTTTATACCATGGAGGACAATGTCAATATACATATCATGTCCTCAAAGCTGCTTGGAATTACATTTATTTAGTTTGCTTCAAAGGCTGATCCAGATTTATTGTTTTTCCCCAAACATGCTCATGGTCACATTGATCATTTTAATTATAAATATCAATGCCAAACGTTGTCTGTTTCATTTTGCTTTTATACAGAACCAACAAGGAATTAACTTGAGAAAATAAAATGTTCTTTTGTTTTTCTGAATAAGATAATTGATTACAACTTTGAGGAATATTTTCATCTGGAGAAAGTTGAGTGTTTTTCAGAGCTAATTAGATCCCAGAGAAGCTCTCATTTACTTCCAGTCTAAATGGGAAATTGGGCACAAGTTGTATCTTGTAGACTAATAACAATACTCTCTATAATTGAAGCATGTGAACATGTCACTGTAGAGGCACACGATACAAGTATGAACCTGAAAATAAGCATTAAAAGGCCCCTTTAAACACAAGGGCACCTCCATATGTCACAAACCCAAATAAATGAGAGCTTCCTCCAGAAATCCCAAAGTTTTTCTTAGCATCTTTCTGGTGAAAAAAGTTGTAGGTGTAATTCCTCAGTACTTTATCTCTAAAATCAATAGTGGAATTGTATGACTTAAAAAGGTATTGACTATCCTGGCTGTGTAAAATATATTTCTGTTAAATGACAAAAACACAAGACCTATGAAGAACATTTAAAACCCATCACATTGCCTTGCACAACTTTGTAGATCTCCATTCATCTTCATTTCCATATCCACATTACTCTTGTCATGTTGGCTGTCACCTCCTGTCCCCTCTGTCAGACCTAATTGATACCTCCTCACAATAGTGTTAGGAAACAGAAGAGTGCGCTCTCCTCTTTCGGAGAAGGTGAAGAGCGACATCCTTCTTCGTATAATGACAACATCCTAACCCCTCCATGCTGGCGCTGAGGTGCTGTGTCCTCTACTAACCCTTGTTTGCCGTTCCTCTCCTTTCTATTCTGTCTCCTGCAGTCCCGGGCCTGTTGAGTTTTAGCTCAGCTCTTAGTGACAGCTTTGCAAATAACAGCTGGATATCTGGAGCAGAGTATATACAGTACATATTGCACATATGAAGAACCGTGAGCTCATTCTACTTCGTCTCTGGACGGTGTTAGTGGATTTGTTCCGATATCGATACCAGTATTACTTTCAATACAGCCTCAAATGACAAATAACACATATATGGCCCGTTCCAATATCACCTTATCTCATTATTGGCTCATTTACGCTACAAAGTGTTAGAAAAGTTAGTTTACAAACAGCTAACATGGTTTCTGAAGGTCATGGGTGTGAGACGGCGACTCTTAAAGTCCTAAATGATATCCTAAAGGCCGTTGACTCCAGACAGTACTGTGCTGCCATTTTCATCGATCTTGCCAAAGCCTTCGACTCCGTAGATCACCAACTGCTTCTGGGAAAGCTTAGATGCATTGGTGTCACTAACCAATCGATAGCCTGGTTTGAAAGCTACCTGTCCATCCGCACCCAGTGTGTAAAATCTGAGAATCTGATGTCACAGCCACTATCCATCTCTAAGGGAGTACCGCAAGGCTCTATCCTAGCACCCATCCTATTCTCAATATATATAAATGACATGGAGAAATCCGTGGGCAACTCCTCTATCCACCTATATACCGATGACACGATTCTGTACACTGCTGGCCCTTCCCCAGATACTGTCCTGTAAACCCTTCAGGATAGTTTTCAGAGAATCCAGTCACATCTCTCGAGGCCTGTACCTGAACACCACTAAAACCTGGATTGACAGTAATCTGTCATTCTCAGAACATCTCTCCAAAACTCAGACCAAGGTTAAAGCTAGACTCAGCTTTCTATATAGGAATCGCTCCTCATTCACTTCATCTGCTAAACTCTCTCTGGTCCAGATGACTGTCCTTCCTCTGTTCGACTACGGTGATACCTTCTACCGCTCGGCTTGTAAAGGAGTTCCCGATCATTTAGACGTTCTGTATCACTCCGCTATCCGCTTCGCCTCCAATGATCACATCACTGTGATCTGTACTCTCTGGCAAACTGGCCCTCTCTTGAGACCAGACGCAACATCCACTGGCTGATGTTTGTTTATAAAACACTCCTAGGCCTCACCCTCCTTCTACCTCACACAATTACTGCAACTCCGCTCGCCCCCCACACAGCACCCGCTCAGCTACACACATCCTGCTAAAAATCCCCAAGGCCCATACATCCTTTGGCCGCTCCGCCTTTCAGCTTGCATCAGCTGATATGAGACCTTTATCTCCCCCCGCACCTTCAGGGACACAATTACAAACACCCTGGTACACACATGCAACTGCTTTGCCTGATGCTAACTACCAATGTCTTGACCTCCCCTATAGTATTCATTGCTATGAAGGAATTAATGGATGAATGTTCTATATTATTTTAATGACTGATTGAACAGCAGTATTAATCTAGATATGTTATGTTGTTTAACTGCTATGCCTGTCATCTCTGCCTACAGTGATTGGCTTCAGTTAAAAATCAATCAATAATGGATAAAGCTAATGAGTTAGCAATCTTACCCTTTCAGCATTTTAGCAATTTAGTAACCTAATTGTTATTTATTCCTATATTTTATGTATTTATTTAGGACCATTATGACTGACTTTTTTATGACCTAGTTTGACAAAAGTGCCATGGCATCATTCTCTGTATGTCTTAATGTTTACATATTTGAATGCCCCTATTGGTTGGCCCATTTTCACTATAAATATGCGATCATTATTAATAATAAAAAAATTCCATGAGGACAGCTAATCAACGCTAGCTGTTGGCAGCCGTTCTTAGCTAACACTAACAGAGGTTGAATATAATGCATTTCAGCTCATATCAGTAAATGTGTTATTTAGTAACTGCCGGATTAAATTATTTTGGGCGGGGTGGTGAAACAAACTACCTTGAACATTGTATTCCAGCCACTGTAACCAAACCAAAACAATGTTTAGTGTTAGACATGTAAGGAACCATTTACAATTACCAATGGTATGGGCGGGAAAAACTTAATGTAGGCATCTCTATGTTCTAGAAAGGGTTTGACCTAAGCCAGGCCAATGATACGGTGATAGCAATCATATCACATCCATACAGGGCTGGTAGACCAAATCATATATATAGTTTTGTTTTTACTGACTAATCAGGAAGGAGATATGGTATTACAACATCTGCAGTTGTTGGAGGGAAACATTTAATAACGCTTGATGTGTTTACATTTGTATCTTCAGTGGATTCAATAGTACTAACACATTCACCGAGTACACTGTGTGCCTTATTCCTTATAACTCTAGTATACGTATTCGGAGATGTATTCACCGTTACATCCCCGCATTGACAGGTGAGGAGGGAAACCAAAGAGAAAGAAAAGCAGGCCAAACTAATCGACCTCTCATTAAAAAGTGCAGCCTCATCCACGTCCTTGAGCGCTGACAGTGTGCGGTCCTTAGTGTTGTCGCTAGGATTTAATTTAGCCGCACAAACTCGGCGAGAGTACAAATTACATTTGTCCAGCGTTCCTTACTTGATTAATTAGACAAGCAGGATTAGCTGTTTAATATTAATATTGGAGCGTTGCCACCTTTTCTGCCTCGGCATCAGATAGGCTCTGTCGATGTAAACATTCAATCAAGTGTCCCGGTGAAAAGGCCAATGCGTGTCAAAGTCACCGGCTTTTGTTCCTCTCCCCAGGCCTGGCCAGCGTCCACGGAGGAATCTCCACCCAGGGCTGGTTTATCGGCCTGATGTGCGCCATCGCTCTCCTCACGCTCATTGTGCTGATCGCCTGCTTTGTCAACAGAAATAAAGGAGGGAAATATTCCGGTAGGTGCTCACTTACACTCACACACATCACCTTGCTTGAATAGTAATGGCTGCTCGGAGCATCATTATAATTCCATTTCGCTGTTTGTTCTATGAAAGAAATTATCAATCACACCTGGGGCCATTACAGGAGGGTTTTTTTCTTTTTCTCACAGCCACACAATTATTGTAATGGAAATTTAAACATGAAACAGAGCTGCTGTATTAATAAGAAAATCTACTGTATGTCCAGCATTTGAATTTATTTGGACACGCAGCTTTTTTCCAGCAACAATCTAAACGAAGTGCAGCCCACAGCGAGACAAAATGCAAATGCTGCACACGGGGTGGCTGAGCAGGGGATGGTGACATAAGCTCTGTGGTTTCTCAATGTTATTCCTCCTGTCGGGGACACGGAGAGTCCTTATCGGCTTTTATGGTTCACAGCTAATGGCCGTCAGGTTGTCGTCTGGGCAGAGATGGCTTCACTCGTCAGCAGAAAAAAGAGCGAGGCGTAGCTCTGTCCTTTGTTTTCTCATTAACTTCTCATTATCACCCGGAGCTCCAGCAACCCCGTTACATCACATTACACAACCGTACTCTTTAATGTGAACTCTATTTTGGATTTGGCATTTGTACAAAAGGAAATTTTCTTTAAGATATATATTTTTAACAACTTGGGTTCCTACAGGTCATTAAAATCCGTGACAACTTGTGAAATTGAGGGTGTTCAAAAGTATATATCACAGAAAAAGAAATGTATTTTACATTGTTCTTTTAACTGAATATTAGTACATGGGCTGTGTTCCAAAGTCTGCATTCTGATTTTAACATTTTTGTGTAATTACTTGAAACGCTGCCAATATCTAAAATGCATTAGGATGAAACTTTAATTTAAGCTGTTATATATTCCATTATTTTGGTCATAAGCACAGATACATATTCATAATGCTTTATAACAATCATCTTAACATGTCATAAATAGCATTTTCTCACGAGAGATCTGACATTTTATTTTAGATCTGACAAAAAATGATGGGTTTCTGGGATTAAAATAAGATTTTTTTTTTTTTTTTACTGACAATCTTAATATTCTGACTTTCATCTCATAATTCTCCCCAAAAATCTAAAATAAAACTAAATAAAAATGCACATGTGGCCCTTATCCTCTTCCGTATGTTACAGAATCTTATCTTATTTTTAATCTAAGCAACTATTAAATATACTGACTCTTTTCAACTATCCCCTTCGTCTAATCAATTATAATAATTTCCTCTTGCATTAAAATACATAGTCTAACTGTTTAAAGTATGCCGTGTTGGCTCCTCGATCATCAAGGTGTGGGAACCACCATATATAGGATAAAGCAAGATTATCCAAAATAAGATTTAAAATGGCAGGAATCAGATAAAACGTCTTGGAAAAGCTCGCCAAATGCCACGAAGTTCAAAGGCGTGCACTGAAGTTGCATTCAGTAAATAAGTGCAGGAAGTCAGGGACACTTTAAAGCTCAGCTCAAACAGCCCAGCAGTCAGGGGAACACTTGTGATCTTATTTGGCAGCCGCCTCTTGAGGAAGTCACTGATATCTTCTTTTTCTTTCTGTGAGCAGTGAAAGAGAAAGAGGACCTTCACCCAGACGTGGAGTCCCAGGGCATGAATGACGACACATTCTGTGAATACAGGTAAGCGTAAGCCTGGGAGCGCTATTTCACCACCTCACTGCAATTCCCGTGCAACACCGTATGAAACTGTCCTTTCTTTCCGACATTTCTCTCGCTGCATTCTTCCTCTTGCCGAAAAAAAAGCCAACCCAGAATGCACGAGGTTCAGCTGGAGCCTCGGTCTTCTGTCCGAGACATTTGAGTAAAGTATGTGATAAACAGCGGTTAGCATCCCCGAGCTGTTTACGCATCAGTGTTGTCTTAGTGCTAGCATCCCTTTATAGGACTCTGTGATCTCCTGTGTTGTTGTTTGTGATAGACGTTGCATCATAAAGGGAGCAGCACATGTTACCATATTTGTCCGGAAGGATCTGAGGCTGCCCGGCGCACAGCAGGTGGCGGAAAACAATCAGTGTAATTGAAAGCTGCTCATCTCCCGGGCAGTCATATGTAGACACGTTTCATTAATCCTGCAGCGGTCCAATTCATAACTACCGCAGTGTGAGTCCCAGTGTTACTGAGCAATCTGCACAGTGACACGCCTGCTGGTGTCACTGAGTCCAAAGGGTCTCAGTGTGGCACCATTTAAACTTTTTCAAATTGGCTACAATATTCAGAAATCTAAGCCTTCAACACAAGGCAACTCAAAGTGCTTTACAAAAATGAAAGTCATTAAGTTAAGAGCTGATACACATTTTGTATTTATAGTTCTTTTAAATACTAAGTATCAAACAAGTATTTGTATTATTAAACTGATTTGAATGCCTTCATCTTCACCTGATGAATAATTCTGATGTAACTAGCCTGTTTTTGATTTTGCTATTAACTGGTGCTCCAAGGTAACATGAAGTCAAAGGCTATAGGGTCACAAGGAATTCAGAAAGAGACTCAATCCTCAACCAAAAAGGGTTGTACGAAAAATGTACAAAGCTTTATTCATAACCTTGAGATTCAAATTCAAAAGGAACATTTATGTTAACACTGCCCAGCTTTTCAACTGTTTATTTGAATCTCTATTCACTTTGTTTGAACCTGGTATTTCTGCAGATTTGCAGATAAAGACTAGGGTCCGCTTTAGGGTCATTCACTTTAGATTCCAGAGATGACTGCGTAGGAGATGCAACCATGAACAATAACTCTAAAGCATTTTAAAGTCCAAAATCAACATTCACCTAACAAAGATTCACAAACAGTATTTTTCTAAAGCAATATTTTATTTTTATCCTTATTTGTTGTCTTTTAGCGTTATAGAAATCAAACATTTTAATTCTGTTTAAAAACCTGTGATCCATATGAGGCCACAATTAAAATTAAAATCTAGTTTTTCCTTTGTTTCTTCTTTTCAGGACATAACATATGATAACATAGCTTCATTTGAAACCTGAATAGAAGCTTTGAATAACAAATGACATTCATACAGCAAGTTAAGTATTTTGGCAAATAGATGGGTCCCAAAGCAAGTGCACTACTTTAATGTACCCTCATTTCTCTTGACTTTGCCAAATGCATTGATGCACACTCAGTATTCTGTGTGCCTCTGTGATCTTTTCCCATTGGTCAGTTATTCCAAAGTCAGTCCCAGAGGCTCATCGTAGATCAGGGGTGTCAAACTCAAGGCCCGTGAGCCAAATCCGGCCCGCAACCTCATTTTATGTGGCTCGCAAGAGCTTGCAAAGAATATAATAAGTTTATTATACATTTACATGCAGCTTTACAGAAGCACGTTGCCCATAAACTACATGTCCCACAATGCATCTCGTTTTGTGACACTGAAGAGACTTGTAATGATTTGCCCTAGACTTCTGCTTTCAGACGTAGTTAATCATGAAGTTATTACCCTATCCGATAATAATCCAATGCAGAGTCAATAATATTATATAATACATTATTTGATATATTATATATTTATATAGTCTTAAAGTTACAACCGGCCCTTTGAGTGCAACAATAATGCTCATAATGCCCCCCTCCAAAAAAAAAGGTTACAATATTACAATTTATTGGAACTAAATCAAATCAGAGACCCGGATGTGGAGATTAAACAGTTCATTACCTTATATAAAAGCAAATACTGTTTATGTTTTTTAATTAAATTGTCACTTAAAGTTACTAAAACAAATACCTTTTGAAAAACAAATACCAATTACTGTATTTTTTGTTTATTTTACACAATTACTTTATATACTGTCTTTGTCTTTTTAACCCACTTTTATTGTGCCCCTCTCATGAAATAACTGGCCCTAGCCTGGCCCCCCCAGTAAAATTGGTCTGGATCCGCCACTGATAATGCTGATGTGGCCCGCGATGAAATTGAGTTTGACATCCCTGTTGTAGAGACAGCACCCCCGTCCTCTCCTATAAGCCCCAAAGTGAAGCCATGGGTGAAATAAGGTGATTCTAAATCCCCCC